CCTGGACCACGTTAATTCTGAAATTATCGGACGCTGGTGGAGAGAAAGACAACCCGAAAATCATCTGATTTACAAAGACCCACAAACCTGGCCATTCATGGAATACCGAACTGACAACTGGCAGTCAACCTCACATCCTCAGAAGTTCTAGCTACAGTGCTAGAGGCGCGGTAAACGTCGACAGCATCATAGGCGGGAATGTTTACTGCTGTGAAAGCAGGCCCATGGCACTGCAACAGCGGAGAACAGCAGCTGCTCCCGTGCTCATGTCGCATCACCCACACCGGCACGCTGGGAGTAAGACCGGTAGCCTCGACCTGGGATCAACTGCACCAGTCAGCCCGGGAAAAAACCTAACCGGGCCGGCTCCACTGTTCCAAAAATTTTAATCGTAACGTAAGCATGGCGATCGCCGGACATTAGCCACAGAAGTGAACATGGACAGAGCACACAAGAAGGGGGAGGGTCGTAATATGCGCCACCAGTTGATCCAGAACTAAACAAACTACTGACACTGCATTGACAAAGCTCCCAGGCTCACTATGATGCCATTTCACTGCCTGCCACGCTAGGTCTCTGTTCGAAGGAGCCTGTAGGTGCCCCAGTGGCAGAACAGAACTCGGCCAAAAATTGCTCCAAGTAATTTTCAAAGTGGTGGCTACGGAGCATGACCAGATCCTAATGGGTAGTGGCTTCGACGCCCAAGCTCTCAGCCTAGGGCGGGGCAGCAGGCCTCCGGCCGGAAGTTTAATCGTAACGCACTAAACGCAATCCAAATCGCTGGGCTGCATGAAAAGATTGGCCGCGATACTCACTGAGGGTAGAACGGTAAACATTTTAAGTCGGACTGCCACCTGAACAGTGACCATCTGTTAGTTGAAGACGTCCGGGTTCAAAGTTCTCTTCGAACCAGTAATCACGCTATGCCAGCGTTTGATCTGGCAACCAGAGAACAATTATCATGGAAGAGATTTCCCCTCGCCCCTGTTACAGCAAGGCAAACTACGAGGGTTGAATCGGTGCTTCTTGATGGTTCCACGGCCAGCAGATTGGCGCTTCTTATCGGTTGACCAACACTGGGAACTAGTAAGAGACATCATAAAGGGGCCGATTTCTAAAAGTGTCCCTCGGTGGTAGTAACACCTGGAAGGCAGGTTTCATGGCTTAAACGAGCTATTGAGCGCCTCCTGAAAATCAAGAGGGAAGCATGGCATGAACGGGAGCACTCTAGAGAAGAGGATGGTCCCCGCGCATACACAGCTCCACGAAATCGATGCAACATCAGGGCGCTGGGAGACGGGAGGTCTTTCCAGCCCAACCTCGTTCAGAGGCTTGAGGTAAACCCGAAAACCGGTGCCCGTTCATAGCGATGAGAAAGCCCGAAGGCCAGGGAACATGCTTCACCAAAGTCCGAATGGAGAAAATCCCCTAGACGGGAGATCACCGACATGGTAAGCACCGCCTTTAGCCCACAGCTCAGCATCCCATCGCGCAGGCATGCGTGTACAAAGCCTGAATAGCCCTCAGCATTATCCGACGCAGCAGAGCTAAGCGAACTACAGGTGACTCGTGTTGTTGTTCTTGATAGGCTATCAAAGCTAAGTGCGGGAAAATCCCCAGGGTCGTGTCAACACTCGTCCATCTGTGTTGAATCAATGTACGAGTACCCTAAGTGGCCAACTCTACAACCTTTTTCAACGTTTCTCGGACGAAAAAAGGCCCTCACTGAAGTGGAAACGCTCCATCATCCCTCCCACCTTTAAAGGAGGGGACGGGCAGGACCTGAACTGTCACCTTCGCACAGCACTTCCGCCAGTGTTATCAAAAGTTGTGGAAGGCGTGACAGACGACCGCATCAGAGAGCAGCTGGACACAAGGAAACCACTCAGTGATGCTCAACACGGCTTGCGGAAAGGTAGGTAAGGCGCCTGGAACCTACGGACAGCCCATGACCACTGCAGAACATCCTCCGACCCCGAGGTCCCGGTGCATGCAATTTCTCCGGGTTCAACAAAAGCTTTTGACGCAGTTTGGTACACCATCCAAGTGTATAAAACAACTGGGTTGGAGATCCGCGGCCAGGTGAAATCGTGGTTGCATGAATGTCAATGGGGTCTATTCAGCTTGGAGAGCATCATCGTCCGGTGTGTTACGAGGAACAATCCTGCGCTTGTTGTTGTCCCAACTATTGTAGAATGACCTTCCGCTTCATTTTGGCCCTCTTAGTCTCCTTTATTTTGACGGCGCCGAGTTATGGAGAGCAGTAACGTGCGAAACGGAATCGAATGCTCTACAGGACGACCTCTAAACACTCTGGTAGTCGGCGAAAAATAACTGACTGGCGTTTAACCTGGATAGATGTCGGTCTGCTCCCGATCCAAAGAAGGTGTTCTACTTTATCTTTCTCGTGCCTCAGAGGAGAAAGATCCGAGCTCATACGAGACAGAGGGACTGGACACCAGTTACAGTCAGCCAGGAGATGCCTGAAAAGCGTACGCCGTGCTATACTTAGTGCGTAGACAACTAGGTGACACCACCCCAGAGCTCTTTTTGAATAGGTAAGGTAGAACAAAAGACCCACGCCTATGACCATCTAGTTGCTAGAGATTAAGAAGTGACTTGATAATGGCTTACAAAATACTTAATAACCAAACTCACCTGAGGAGAGGAATACCGCAGAATGGTCACTACGTAAACCTCGTGGGAACCCGAAGAGAATTCCCCATCAAAAGTCGAAAACTGGAGCACGTTCGCAAGTCTTCCCTTTCAAGTCCAAGGACATTAGAATGCGCTACCAGCAGAGGTAATTTTCTGCCCATCTGTTAGCAGTTTCGGGGGAAAACTAAAACAGTTACTCAGTGACTTACAGTTTACACTCATCTAGTTGGGATGCGAACTAAACTGAAGAATTCATCTGCTGTCACGCCATTCCAACACCGTTACATACACTAAATGTTTCCATACTTCGACCACTAAAGTCTTTTCTGTCATTCTTACTCATTCACCTAAGTTTTGCATATCTTTGCACCCCAATCGTCTTACTTAGGTGCACATAGATAACTTCATCATTTCACTCCTCTTTTCTTTAAACTCTGATACGTTTGTCTTTCTGGACTGTCTCTTCACTACCTCTAACCGTCTCTTACGACCAGTCCGAAAAGCTTACTGGCAACTCGACACTGCAACAGAGTCCCAAGAAAACTAATCGACACCCAACAACCTCTTGGGTACAGTAGTGATATGGCAGACGAGTGGTTAACTATACTGCAACAGAATCCACTAAGGGCCTGGGAAAATTCCACAAGATCTAGAAGTATTATTATTATTATTATTAGTCCCTTGGGTTCCTAATGGAACGTAGGGCTTCACTAGCACGTCTCCATTCCACTCTCTTCTCTGCAATCTTTTGAACCTGGCTCCACGACAGCCCACAACCTCTCATTTCCTCCTCGCACGATCTCCTCCATGTTACCCTCGGCACTGACGCCCAACTCGTCGCTTCCCATCCGGGTTCCACTAGAGCAACTGGCCTGACGCGTGATGTCCTCAGTCGGCCTTCTCAATCCATCTCCACTTCCTTCTGCCTATTTATTCAGGGATAGGTTCCTGGTTGGTTCGTTCCCAGAGCTCCCTGTTGCTTATTCTTGTTATTCTGGCCATCTGATCTTCAGTAGCAAGCGTAAGAAGTTGTTGATGAATGTCTGTAGTTTACTGGAAATCCTTTCCGTAACGCGCCAAGTCTCTGAACCATACAGAAGCACTGACTTGACTGTATTGGTGTTGAAAATCCGGATCTTGCTCACGCTTTATGCTGAGTGCAGTTCAGAAGATCTCCACACTGGTTTCAGGTTAATGAACGCCTGTCTTGCTTTTCCGATTCTGACTTTGACATCCTCGTCTGTGCCTGTGCCACCTGTAGTTGAAACAGTTCTGCCTAGATAGGTGAAGGAGGTTACTTGCTTTAAGTTCCTCCCGTTGATGGTGACTGCAGTTTGTTGTTGTTGTTGGAGTTGTTGGTGTGGTATCTTCATCACCTCTGTCTTCTCTATATTCACTTGAAGGAAGTCTCGTCTTCGCTGCCCTGCCTCTTCTGACAACTTGTCAGTTTTCACCTGTAGGTCTTCAAGTTTGTGTGACATCAAACACAAGTCATCACTGGCGAAATCCAGATATTCTAGGTTCTTTTCCGCAGTCCAGCCAGCGTATCCCCCTCTTCTCACAGCTCCCCACTGTTTGCTGCATAATTCAGTCCAGTCGACCACTATCAGGGATATCATGGGTGATAGTAGACAGCCTTGTTTCACTCATTCCTGTCTTCACTTCAAAAGCATCACTGAGCTTCCCATTGTCAATTACTTGGCTGGCACGTAGTGTCTTCATATAGTTGTTGAATGAGGCTGATAAAGGTTTACGGTATTCCGTAGTATTGAAGCAGTTTCCAAATTACCTCTCGGTAGACGCTGTCAAAGACCTTCTCAAAGTCGATAAAGTTGAGGTCGAGAGTCGACTGCCATTCTATACTCTGTTCTATGATGATGCTTGGTGTGGCGTTGCAAATTGGTCCGCACATGATTTGTACTTCCTGAAGCCAACCAGCCTGCCCTTTCCGGTCGTAGTTTTGAATCCAGTACATCTTTCAGTCTCTCCAGGATGATGCGGCTTAATATTTTGCTTGCTCTGGGTGGACAGGAGAGTGATTACGAGCCAGTTCTTGCAAAGACTTAGGTCTCCCTTCTTCGGGAGTTTGACAAGGTAACCCTTCTTCCAATCAGCTGGTAGGTACCTTCTCTTCCTTCCACACCTTCTGCAATAATGGTGTGGTGTGAGCATGTCCACTGTTGTCTCTGCGTCTGTTTTCAGTGCTTCTGGCGGGATCCCATTTGGTCGTTATTCTTTCCCATATTTCAGTAGCTTTATAGCGTTCAGGACTTCGATCTTTGTTGGGGGATTTATGTCCACTTTTAGTTCAGTGGCTGCAGGTGAGCGCAACAAAATAACCGGTTTACGCTAGCTCGTTAGAAGATACTTGATATTGAGTGGATTACCTTGGCTAAAGCGCTAGTTTCATTTTTTTCCGGTACTTTGGTTAGTGTCATTTTCACTTAAGTGGTTCTTTCAGTTTTGAAAGTAATTTTGCCATCTTCCCCTTTTCTAGATCCTGGGTTGCGTTAACTCTTTTGTTTTCAACCAGGTACATATGTTCAATTCCATCATAATTGTGTTGCTGCTGACTTTATAAATGAAAAAAGCTTGTTTAGTTAGATGACTCATATTTTAGAGTTAATGGGGAACTAAATAGCTATCAGGATACTTCCTGAACGGTGTCGAATCTGACGTTTCACTGAATTCGTCCGAGTTATTCAACGGTTAGAATGGTCATATGAAAGTAAACTCAGCTGACATTTCGTAGCACCTAATTGGAGGAATTTGAAGGCGGTGTTATGATCTAGACAAAGGGTTAATCCAGCTAATTTAGCTCACCACTCTTGGTGGCTACATTTGAGTTGCTGTCCCTAACTGTGCTACAGAAGTCTTCAAGAATGCGTCCATGTGCATTAGTCAACTCAGGATAAGCTGCTGAGATCCACTCACTCTGTTAAATGTTTTCTGAGTATCATTTAGGTTTCGACGGTGCTTTTACGGTGGATTAAGTGATTACAAACCTCTTTAGGGGAGGTGGTGTCTTGTTCTGATAACTGTCCATTCGGTCTCTTGTTTTAGGCTGCCTCTGTATTCTCATCATCGAGTTACTCTCGCAATACTCTTGCAACTAATGTTTTTACGTTGATTTAAGGCGTACTTAGTGTGGTCACTGTCCAGACAAGTACTGCAGAAGAAGGATTAATCTAGCAACCCTCTTCAGAGATAACTGGTAGCAATATAATTGTTGTATACCGTTAATATCGGTCGACACTACGCTTCCCAAGGTCTACCTTTATGTCTGAAGTTCATGCTAACCAGAAATAGATGGTCTGAGCGCACTTGTATCAAATGATCGTCGTTATGGGTTCATTCAGTTGGGATTCCGGGAGTGCGTTTCTGCTTAACTTACCCTACCAGCTTGTGCATTGAAATCCCCTGCTTTATTAATCACACTTGAGCGTTTGGTTGCCTTATGAATCAAACTTCAGATCAAAGTCTCAGGGATTGTTCAGGCAAGTGAACCATTGCTTCGATTTGGGAGTCTGCTCAGCACCATAGTCTTCATACGAATCACCATTTACAATTCAGACACTGAATCGTTTATCAAATCTCAAAAGCAATCAAATTCAGTTTCACACAGTTTATATTTAGCCACTCAGTTTTTTATTTCATGGTGGCATTCGTTTGCTCATGGATTGTGTTGTTTTTTTGTAATCACTTTCAAGTTTTTCTTCATGAATGGCTTTGTTTCATTCAGTTATCCGTCACTGACTAATATTCTGGTTTGTCTGCACCATCTTGATTTGCTAAACAATCCCTGGCAGAAAGTTGTCATCCGTTGCAATATATGATTCATCTACTGTGGGACCACGCTTACTGTTTATCTGACTGCCTTTGACGTCTGTATCTTAATGCAGATTGAAATATAGAGAGAAGGGTTTGGCTGGGTCTTTGGAGAAAGCCTCACCACTAATGAGTGCCAACTTTACCATCTGTCACTTCAAAGTGTTTACCATGTGCTTATTCGGAGATGCGGCATCGACATCTGACCTTGGGTATTGGTGTAGCATTAAGTGCGAAAACTAAGGCTCCACTAGTTAGTTGAATCCCTACGAACACCATGGGGTTAGACTGGAGAGCTTGATTAAAGTGAGAAGTAACTGGTATGGGAAAGTGTTTCCACATCATATTTGCATATAATTCGCCTAGATGCAGTCTAGATGTTGTTAAGCTTGACATTATCATCAGTTGATTGACCTCTACCAGGTGCACTACAATGGCTGGAACTCGTGTTTCTCGAGGTTCTACCATGAAAGAAAGGTCTGTTTGATAGTGGTAGGACACAAAGCAGCTACCGTCATAGTATAAACTACCACGCTGTAATGAAGGAGGTCTAAGGGTGAAGTACTGCTAACTGACTGACAAGATCAACCTAGAACCCCGCACGGGGTGCGTCACCAGTAAGCTATTTCTCGCGGATGACCAACAGTGACTTGCTGATACTATCTTTTCTAAGGGTAGGGGTAATTAGGAAAGGTTTGCTCTCAAATCAGAACACATATCCCTGCTCTTCTGTCTTCCGACGCCAGCGGTTTGAATTTTCCCTATCCGGTGTTAGAACAATCAGACCTCAAAAAAAAACTGTCAAAAGGCTGCATATAAAAAGCCTCAAACAGCGGTTACAAAATCTTTTCCTTTCCTCTCTTTCATACGTTCTGCGGAAACAGCCACAGTGTTGACAGCTGGGAAATGTCAGCTATCCACACACTTCCAGTAGTATTCAAAACCCGATCATACTTAACCTAATATCCTTACTTTTGTCTCCTCCCTTGTCTTCGCTTCCTGGAACCAACATTGTCTCTTACAACTTCCTCATCCTTTCACTCTGCGACCATTGGGAACTATCACGGCCATCGAAACCTCATTCCTAGTCCTAAAACCCTACTGTCGGTTTTACATGATAGCTTTCAACGTTCAAACCTTATGCCAAACCGAATAGCAAGCATATCTTATCGGAGTTCTAGGATTTCGAGCCATGGCTGTATTCTGTGTTTCTGAGATGTACTGGACCTGAATGTGATTATTCACTTGACCTCAGCTGGCCAATGTGGTAAATCTTCAAAATCCATCTTACGAGTATCCGAAGATTCAGTTACTAGTTTTCATGAACTCTCTGGTTTGGGTATATCAATAAGTTCTGCAGGGAAGAGCACAGTTCTCGACTGAATATCAGTCAACAGCCATCTAGGTGCTCTTCGATTGAATGGATCATGCTTATATTGATCTTGGTGACTAGCAGCAGAATCCAGGACGCGCGTTTCGTCATATTTGAGACTCATCAACTGGATGTATCTTCACCCCAGTATGTGATGTTCCCACTGTAGCTCGAACATCACTCATTGGGGTGCTTGTACTTCCAGCTGATGCGTCTTGAATTCCTCTGCTAGTCACCAAGATCAATATAACATCATGAATATCCCGCGGTATCAAAGCATCCTCATAGGAACCCATCTACCAACAGAGGCCGAGCAATTCGACCCTGTATAGCAACGGGAAATTACAGGTATCAATTCGAGGACTGTACCTATTTGTTACAGGAAGCAAAACGTCGAGTCATAGTCACAGTAGCTGGTGACTTCAACGCTCAATGAGGAGCGTTAAGTCAGTCGGATAGGCATCTTGAATGTCTCTACAAAATCCCATGTCAACGAACCGATAAAGATGGTCGTCTTTTACAACTTTTGTCCGACGATCACTTGTTTCTGCTCAAAACTGACTGAAAGCATGGAGGGAGACTCTCATTTGGTATAGGCCATCATCAAACCAACGATGGGTCATTGTTGGAGGATTGCCGCTCTTTCTGGAGTACCTATTTGCACCTATCACGTGTTGGTACGGGCATGTTTATGTCTGTATCCTGCTGGTCGATGAAAACGAGCGATAGTGAAGCCTTTGTGTGCTCAACTGGAATACGAGAACACCAAGCAAGTATCTGTCTAAACACTGTAGCTGTTCTCATCCTGATGAAGCCTGACCTGATATTTACTCTGCTGTAAAAACAGGAGCAAAGACAGTTGGTAGCCTACATCTAAAGGTTAGCGAACGTCTGTGGATCTCTGCAACGTCATCCTAACTAATTGACGCGTGAAAACTGATTCCAGCTTGCTCTGACCGAAACGAAGAACGAAAGCAGCTGGGTCGTAAATTGGCTAAGAGTTCGCAATAATCGCAAGTGGCGGTCAGTGACAAAAGCGAGAGGGATGGAGATGGCATCAGCATTTAGGTAATACCCAGCAACTATTTAGGTTTATTAAGGATACCGGCAAAAAGAAGACGATGGTTAGTGTGACCATTACCAAAGAGGATGGAACGATGATAACCTCCATGGACAAGCACCTAGAATGCTGGGCAGAACATTTTGAGGCACAGTTCAAGTGGTCCTCGCCAACTCTTCAGTTGCCCAAAATGCGGCCTGAAAATGGATGGGATATAAATGTTATTTCTCCAACTCTTCTTGAAGTTGACAAGGTTGAGTCGAACCTGAAACAATGCAAAGCAGTAGGACCTGGTATTTTTTCACAAAAGGTTTTTAAGGAAGAAGATAGGAAATTATTGAATAAAGTTGCGGAGGTTCTGGGTAATGTATAGGAATCAGAGGTGGTACCGTCAGATTGGTTTGCATCATTGATCACTCAAGTCTATATAAAGAAAGAGAAGTCTTCTTGTGACAACCATTGGAGAATTAAGTTGACTAACATCGTATACAACATCCTAGAGTTCGTCGTTGTCCGACACCTAAGTGGAACTCAAAACAGCAAACTTGGGAAAACCACGCAGGTTTCAGACCTATGTGAGGGTGTATCAATCAGGATTTCATCCTTAGATAGGTTATAGAACACTTACCGACAGCCGACACTTGTTATATTTTTCCTGAGAGCTGCATTCAACGCTGTCAACTGTGATGTGTTATGGCAGTGTCTAACTATGAAGCGAGTACCCATTATTGCTGTGGACTGCGCAGCGTGGTGTAGACTACATGTTTAGGGTCCCTGAGGCCATCAGAATCAATGGTTAGAGACTCTTGGTAACATGGCTAAAAACCAATAACAATGGTGCAGATGTATTCACTCTGAAGATTTTGCGACAAAGTAGACGGTGACTTGGCAAACGAAAGACATCTCAGTCGATGAAACTTCACAACCACATCAACTGACTTTTCTCTCCTCCCTGAAACTCTACTCCTAACTTCTGCATTTCTGACATGACAACACCACAACACATGACATCTGCTACGAAGGCAACGGTGGTCAAATACCGTAGGCCGCATGACCTTTGTCTTTAATGACCATATTTTAAAGCCATATAGTAGAACAGAGCTAGCTGCAGCTTCGTACACTCGAGTTTTCATAGACAATCCGATAACACGGCGACGCCATAAATGG